TTGTTGAGGGCCAAGATCTGAATTTGGCACGTGCTGATATGCCATCTGACATCCAGCACTCAAACATTTGAGTAACTTTTATCTCGTATCAGCAATTTTGACAGGCAAAACAGGCTGCCTCTTCTCCATACTGTGTCCAGCAGGGTCCTTTTTTCTCTAATGTAACTATTAGTAGGCGTTGCTCTTCTAGCTGTTAAGTTCAAGGCAACAATCTGTAATGCTTCCATGGGAAACTGTGCCCCAGACAATCTTCATAAATAGTTTCCTAAACAGCATTATGAGTAAAAGGAATATTGCAGGAAAAGGAAAAAATTGCTCCTTTTCGTTTGAGTGTTGCTATTTACAGTATGTGTAAAACAGAAAAGGGTGATTGTAGTGAGTCAGTCATTGCCCTTCCACACTCCTCCTTTCTTTTCTACAAATTACTGCAAGAAAACGTACCTGTGTTTTGGATTTGGTTTTAAAATTATGGCTTTTTCTTTCTTTCTTTTTTTTTAATAGGAATTAAAAAATCTTCTGTTTGGCTCTAGTCTTTGTTGCTTCAGCGAGGAATGGAAAATACAGAGTTTTACATTTAATAACTTACCCCAGTTAAAATACGGCATTGTGCAAAAAAAGGTACCGCAAATGACTTCCTTAAAGTGATGTTTGCTTTTGACACTGAACTGGCAAAGGCTGTGTGTTTCAGCAGTAAAAGAAAAAAAAAAGTCTTCTAAAGAATCTTCTATTTCTTTAATTTCTCTGGTTACCACTGGTTGATGTCTCCTTGCCAAGTCTTGTTAGGAGACTTGACATGGGTAAAATATTTCTGGGGGAAACTTAACGTCACTACAGAAAGTGTGTGTATGTGTGTGTGCGACAGGGAATTATTCAAAGGCAGGAAGACAAACCACTTCAGCTGAAAGCTAGTGGTGCTAAAAGAGTAAAAGGGAATAAATCAAGGGTGGAGTTTAAGAGAAAAAGGATATGTGGGGGCAATGTTTAACAAGTTTAAGATGGAGTGTGATTTGTCTCAAAATGGGAGGATGCAGCAAGAATTGCCTGTAGTGCCTGGGAAATCACAAGGAGATTTTTGCCTCTTAAAGATGTGGGGGCACATGTTGAGGCTCATTCCTAAAATACAAGGGAACAAATGCCCCTGCGGTGTCACTAGGACTGGGACACTGGGATTGCTGATGGTACCACCTCTTTGGCAGACAAGATTCTGTAATTCTAGATTGCAGCCACAAGATGCCAGCTCCTCTCTAAAACAAGGTTTTCATCAATTCTTAGGCATCACCTACCAAATGCCCCTTTTTTAAAATCCCCAGCAGGTCCCTGTGGTTACCAGAGCTGGTAAAACCAGTTCAGGGTCAGCCTGGAAAGCGTGTATCCAATCCATAGAAATTTTTGGTGTTAACAAAAAACTCTCCGGTCTAGGACATTCAGTGGGAGACTCACTCATCTGGTGTCTAGCTTGTCAGTCTTGCCTGGGCTCTTACAGGCTGACACTGCAGTGCTTCGGGCTGTCCTTCTGCTCTGTATGCCAGATGCAGTTGACCAGCCTGGATTCTCAGCTGGCTGATACGTAGATTCAGACCAGGGACCACACACAGGGCGCAGGATGTATAGCTGCCTCCAAAATCAAACAGATCCATTGTAAAAGTACATTCTCCTCAGCTGCAGCTTAAAGCCTTTGTCTCTGCCCTGTGACTCTGTTTATGCAATATCCACGCACCAGGTCTCTTCTCTTAAGAGCAAGGATCTCAGGACTTTAGAGAAGGAGTAGACTCCTCTTTGCAAAACACTCATCAAGCTTCTGCACTGTATCTTCCCTGAGAGAAGTAGACCGTTATGTACTATACAGAAATGAGAGGAGGAGAGGCTTTGGGGCAAGGACAGTGGCTAATAAACATATCATTAAGATGTTTGATCAGCTTACCTTGTCTAGTTAAATATTTCATTAGGCTGATGATCTCAGAAGAAAGCTGCTTATGTTTAAATAAAACCTAGCGGGAAAAAAAGATAACAAATATCTTAATGTAAACTCCAAAAGGAGCCATGGCAGTAATGTTCACTGGTCCAGAGTAAATGTTACTTTGGTGTTTCCAGACCCTGCTGCTAGAGAAAGGATGTCTCATCACTTCTAGTGACTCACTGGCCATTAAATTCCCTACTGCAAATTCCACAACAGGAATGGGAAACCAGAGTGTTTTGCTTAGATGTGTTTATTTCAGATAGTTAATCTATTCCTCCTCACTTTCAAATTCATTTCAGCTGAATGATTGTTTGATTGTCTCCTATGTTAAGTTTCTATGGTGCTATAAGAAGATATTAAGAATGGTTCCTAATTTTTTTTTTTTTTTTTTTTTTTGGACTGGGAGGCTTTCTCTGGCGAGCTGAAATAAACCTTGCTTTTTTCCTTAATATATTTCAGATGATTCCCTCATTAGTTATGTAAGGAATTATAGAGAGATAGTGTGTGTGTAACATAAATGAGAACATGGAAGGTATCAATATCTAAGCTCTTTTCTGATTACAGGACCTTTATTTTCGAGGTTGCATACTGTGCATACTGCATGTACCCACAGGTCCTGTTCCCTTGGGCCTGGGGTGGTACTTAGGGCAACCTGAGAATTAAACTGATCACTTCGATCACATTACTACTTGAAAATAGCACAAGATTTTGAGAGGAGTTTGACAGATCCTAAACCGATTCATCACAGCCTGGTCAGGAGTGCAACTGCAGCATGTGACAGCAGTGCAATCCTGGGTTAATTTCATGCTGTGGAGAGGGATTTGGTATGCTGAATTCTCTGTTAAATTGTAATAATTCCCAGTACTACAAATGTGATGCGTGGCATCACGGTATCTGTGATGTTAGTCTTGTGTCCTGCATAGCCTGCTCCATTCATGCAGAGATGTTCCAGACAAACTATGGTTCTTCTCTGTCTCCTCAGAAAATTGATTGAGTAAATAATAGGATATGATGTACCTGGGAGAGAACTGAGTGGCAAGAGAAGGACAGTTATACTGGATAAAGTTTTCTAGACAAGAAGAGGCCATGCTATTTTTTTCTCAGGAGAGCTTGTGCAGCTATCTCCTGTTAACCCCCAGGAACAGGTCTTGGTCATGCAATGGGGCCAGGTGGGCTAGATGACATGGAATAAGCAACAAGAAGGAAAGACATTGCTACCCTGTCACATAGTCTTTCAAAACAGCTACAAAGCTATTTTCCATAAAGTTTAAATTAAATATGGTATTTGTTGGTATTGTGATTTTTTTCCAACATTAATTATTTGAAAGGTTCAAACTTCCTTTCTTTTCTTTCTCTTCCTCAGTGAGAGAGCCGCGTGGTGCAGAGGGCTAGACATAAAACTGAAATCTTTGTTCAGTGGTCTAAGTGGGAACATGAGGGGAGGTAAAAGAACAAGGCTAATTTTCACCCTCTGGAAAACAGTCAGATTTGATTTTTCTCAGGAAGTTAAGGTAGAATGTGGGTCAGTAGGGATCAGGAGGTCTTTCATTTTTTGGCAATCACAGAAGAGAGTTAAAAAACCAAACCTTTCCTTTGATGGCTAAGTATTTTCAGGAGAAATAGGTGGGAAATAGAATACCAGCATTTTTTGACAATCACAGAACAGAGTTAAAAAAACCAAACCTTTCCTTTGATGGCTAAGTATTTTCAGGAGAAATAGGTGGGAAATAGAATACCAGTTAGTAACAAAGATTTTCATTGGCTTGCAAAAAAAAAAAAAAAAGAAAAAAAAAAAGAGCAACAGAGAACACTACAAAGTCACGGATGGAAAGAGAGAAATGAAAGAATGGTTTGTGTTCGGTGGTGTTGGGTTGACATTTGGACTTGATGATCCTTGAGGTCTTTTTTCAACCTTAATGATTCTGTGATTCTATTATTTAAGCCTGAATAGAACCACATGGCTTGCAAAAGTTTTTACCAGCATCAAACAATGCAAATAGTTTTGCTCATGGAGTGTCCCATTATTCCCCTCAGGGTGGCCCATGTGGAGTCCTGGCCGCAGTTCAAGCTTGTGTCCTACAGCAGCTTATCTTTACAGACAGTAACAGGAATAAAGACACTCGGTAAGTCAACAGTTGACATCAGAAATATTTTCCATACAGAAGTAAAAATTTTTTCCTCTGCTGCAGCCACTCAAGAGCCTTTGGAGTTTGAACTTATTGAACTTTTCTTTGTCTCTAAGAGAGAAAGAAAGTAGCATATGATTTACTTGTATTTACTTCCCTTTCAGCTGTAGGGATTTAGAGGCTGGAGTTGTATTTGTATAATTACTTGCTTGTGATTAACCCAAGAACCTCTAAAAAAAATCCAACAGCTTGAATTGGGGCCAATGAAAATTATTTAACCTTGAGATCCCAAGGAGATATGATTTCAAAGAAAATGTATTCAAGATTTGAAAGCCCATGAAATTCATGCAGTTTCTGACACTAAGAGTCTCAGGGAGGGTGAAAAATTAAAGTTATAGCTATATTTTTTTTTTCTTGATACTGTGCTTGATCTTTCACAGTTAAACTCATTAATAGAATTTGAGTTTAAATTCTGTGTGTGTATTTTCTACTTACTTTAAAGGAATATTGTTAAGTGTTGCTAGTTAAGCACTGCTAGTGTCAAGGAAAATTCCTTGGGCTGCTATAATATTAACATACTTGTCACTTTACTAGAGGAACAGAGCTAAAATGCTGAAAAAAGGTCTAAAAAATATTACTTTATTACCAGACTTGCAGTTTGGTTTGTTGAATGGGGGTACCAGTATTTTACTGGTTTATGCTGCCACCAACTTGGGTTATTTGTTGGTGAAAAGTTTTCATGGTGAGATTTCGCTTGGACTTCATTACCTTAAAGTGTAAAAAAGTTGATAATGTATATGAATTTGGCCTTAAATGTCCACTTTTCTGCTTGGAACTGTTCAGGAAAGCGACAGGGTCTCTGTTGATTTTCCTTAGTTTTGTTTGACTGGCACTTAATGTAAATTCATTCTTTGCGCTGTTTTCATCGATAATGGAAAGAAACAGGCACCTGTGGAACATCATTATTTGTCTTCAGCACCCAGGATGGGAGGTGACAGTTAATCAAAGGATTACCAGCTCCTACGGGTTCCACACAGGTGCCCAGGTCCAGGAGTGCTAATGGGTAGGCAGTCCTGATACAAGACATCTAGTCATTCGAAATGTTGAAAACCAGGCTTAGAGCCTAAATACAATACTGGAAGTTTTACCATTACTACTACTATTGCTGCTGCTAGTTATTATTGGCACTCATTGCTTGCAGACCCCAAGACAAGGGCCAAATTAACAAGATGCTATGAATCATCACTTGAAAATTGCCTGTTCCTTGGAGTCACTTAAAGGCATTTACCATGGACTGATAAAGAGATAGGGTCAGTGGTATAGTACATGTGCAGAGTGTAATATCAAGTTAATTCAACAACGTTATGCAGTTTAGCTTGTTTCTTCTTCTGTTCTAGCAAAAGTTTGAATTCAGATTATAATGAGAGTAGACTTTTCAAGGCAGAATGAGGAACTTGTCCACATAAAAGAGAAAAAAAAAACCCAAACAACAACTCAGAAACTTCACTGCAAGAAAATCAGTACATATTTAGATTTTATGACCAGGAATCTCCACAGAATTTCACGGAAGAATTATTTCTGCTTGTGAAAACCAAGAATTTGTTTCAGTATGGAGGACAGCCTTTGATCATCTGCTCCTTGATCCTTTGAGTCTCAGGTCATCCTTAGTGAAAACAGAGATGTTAACATTTAGTCCTTTCAACAGGGTTCAGTGATCATAAATGTCGTAAAATTATGTGGCACCAAATAAGAGGATTGAGGTCAGATTGTTCAAACTATAAATGTCCCAACTCATCCCAGCTACAACCTATGCTGTTTACTTGGCTATATTTGCCTCTCCTACTTTTCCACTCCTATTATCCACATAGTTTTAAAAGATTTTGGTTTTACATATTTTGTATATCAAAAATGCTGCTGAAGAATGCAGAAATTCTCCAAGGAATTTCAGGTTAGCAGGTGAGCTCTTTGTCTTTATGTACAGAAATGCTAAAAGCCTCCAGGCTCCTAAAAATGAATAGTAAGCTGGACTGTTTTATTCATGAGATAAACATATTTTTCTTATGATGTGTTTGCCCTGGGCAGAAACTCAGTCAGGCAGAAAGAAAGGGAAGTATCAGAGCTTGAAATGAGAAGGTTAATATTCCTTTCTAAGTCTAACCTGAATTTTCAGATTATTAGCCACTTCACAGTAAGTGTCTGACTTCAGGCTTCTTCAACATTCAAGAAATCATTATCATGTCTCCTTTCTTACTCTGCTACTTACCTCTCTCAGACATATAAATTAGTTGCTGTGCTTCCCATAAATTTCTGAGTGTCTGTATTAGAACACAGGCAGAGATAAGAGAAAGTTGTGATTATATTTTTTTTTCCCCTGAAAACTCTCACCAATTATTTCCCATATCTCACATCCTTCAGAGAGGGAAGCATTCTCTAAATGAACATTATATTCAAGGCAGACATTGAACTTGAAAGTCTGTTTAATTTTTTGGTGTTTGCTGTTTCTTGTTTAATCTTTTGAATTATTAGATCTGTTACTCGAATGCTGGGAACAGTTTTTGACATCATCTCCCATGCTTGTAACACTCTAAGACTGATAATATCTGAATTTCAAAGACTTCCATTCTTGAAGCCACTAGCAAAAATTCCAGTTCTGTGCTTCCCAGGGGCGTGGATCTGTTGTCCACTTCTTCAGGCTTGTGTATGTTGGGTTTTATTCTTAAATCTGCTAATTTTCCATTATGTGACTTTTGTCACATAGTCCTTTATTTCTCAGTTCACATCTTGTAAGTTAGAGTAACAGGAGGTATTAGAAGACTTCACAAAACACAATTTGTAGGAAATGTGTTGACAGCATTGCTTACATGTTTGGGATCAAGAGACTCCTGTAAACACTCCATAGTTTTGCACATCATTGTGCAAGTTCCAAGCAAAGCATGTACATGAAAATATTTCAGAAACAGTGGAGCTCCACAGACAAATACTGGGTCAGCTACCATAATGTTTTAGGTCACCACTTTGGGCATGGCCTATTAAAAAAATGCAAGCACAGTGTTTATTGTTGATGGTACTTTAGATAAAGTTTCGTGGTAGGTAAGAACATTATGGTATAGATTTGTTGACAAGAGTTCAGAATAAAATCTTAAGAAAGAAATTAAGTATGAAGGCATTTCTAAACTAAAAATCTTATTTCATATATAAAGCAATCCTGTTACAGAGTATTAAAACAATTTTATTACAGATTTAAAGATTAATTAGCTTCTCTTGTCCATTGTTTACCAGTATAGCATTGTTCCCTAAAGTACATTTACCTGTTTTTTTTTCCAACCAATTATAAATATATATTCTGAAAGAGCATCCACTATTTTTTTTTTAGAAGATTAGTTTTCAGAGTAAGATTATAAATCTGTGTATGATCAGTTCTGGTGGCTGATCATACCTTATTTAGCCTTCTCTTTAATTTGGTGCATTGTTCTTAATGACAATAATAGTTTTGTTTTAATCATTCCTTATAAATCACACACCACCTTTACTATTAAGCTCCTAGAAGCAGAGATTGTGCATTTAATCTCTTAGATCCACCTGCATTACAAGGGTATTGCCATAGAATATAGAGACATAGGCTAGCAAGCTTAAGCTTGGCTTAAGTACCCATAACAGCAGTCTAACCATCACTATGAGAAACATAAGCTCATCCAGATCCTCCAAATGCAGCACACTGCTGTTAACACTTGACCTAGGTGAATTAACGTCCCTCGAATTTCTGTTTTGCTTCTGAATTCAGAAGAGAACTACCCGCTGTGCCCAGAGTTTGTTTTATGGGCAATCTAGAGGAAGTTGTTCTAGATACAGCTCTGTTCACTGGATCTGATTATCTTCAGGAAGATCCAAGGTACCTTCTTAAATGCCTAAAATTATGTTTAAAGTGGTTCACCTCAAAGAATGGTTCCAGAAAGCCCATATTTCAGTGACAACTTCAATTGCATCTCCTTCTTTAGAGCTCTTTAGGTGCTGAACAGCAACACCACATCCTCCTGCCCTCTGTTCACTCCAGTGCTGAGAAGTCTTCATGTTGCATGCACAGCGAGTGCTTTCCTGACATTTCCTTCAGATGATTAATCCTAAGAGAAAGGTCAGGTTCAACTGTACCTTTATACGTGGTCTGTCTTCTCAGTAATGATACTAGCTCCCAGTTCAATTCACAGGATTTTTTTGAGTTGGCCAAGTTGTCTCTTTCTTGACTATAGAAGGAACTGAGATACCCAAATGATAATTTTCTGAGGCCACTTAATGGAGCCTCATTATTAGGTGTTACAACACCTAAATAGTCTCTAAAAAAATGCTTTTGTTCTTTTAGCTGCAAACCTGCTATGAATCTGTGTATACTGTATTTGGGGCACTTTGCCCTGTAATGAGTAAGCTTCCCAATAAACATTTTGACACTTGTCTGTTTCTTGCATTTCCTGGACTGCAGTTGTCTTCAGCCTTCCGAAGTTCACAGGACCAAATGCCTCACCATGGCTATTGCAGGCATCTTGTGGCGTGCAGGAGGCAATGAAAAAGCAATTGTGGCACTGTAAGTAGGAGAAGCAATTTTAGTTAGTGTACAACGCTCCTATACTTGTGTCTGTAATATATGTACATAGTTCACAAAATTAAAGTTTTGTAAGATGTGTTTATGCAGTCTAAAATGGCTTAGGGAGAAATACAAAATGTCATTTCTGCTGTCCCAGTAGCTGCTGCAGAATAGCCAAATTCTTTGAAATTGCTCTGAAAGATCCTTTCATTGAGGCTAGGATTCTTCCAAAATCTTTACCAAGAGTTATTTTTCCAGATGTAGCACTTTACTCCAACAATTTTGTATTGCAGGTTATTCTACTATGGCTGGGATTAATTTCCTTTTGCTGTGGCTGGCTGCTAGTTACTTAGTTCATGCTATGCAATTAGGCTGCTTGTTCGCAAGACATCTAACTTTTAGATAGCTAGCTTTGGCTGTACTGGATCCTACGTGGTATTTTTAAGTGAGCCAAGTTTTGTGAGAATAGGTCATTTCTTTTATTAGACCAACTAAGATAGCTGAAAGATAGCAGAGAAACTTTTGGGCACAGAAATCCTTCTTCAAACCTAAAACAGAAGGAACAAATTCAGAGACATTTCAAGTGATATTTTGCATCTATAAAAATCCTTCATCTATGATGATATTGTGCATATGTTCTTCTGCTTGTTTTAATGTCATTGCTCTAATATTCTTTTCCAATAAAAACTGTCATTAACATCTTAAATTTATATTTATCCTCTTTCTGTATAGAGAAACTTGTAAATTGTAGAGCACAGAAAGCACAGCCTGGATAAATTACATGTTTCATTGACAAAAGCTTAATATGTGATAGGAACTTATTATGCAAGAGGTCGTAGTTAAAAATAATAATTCAAAATCTTTGGCTCATCATTCAGTTCATATAACATGCTGATTTCTCTTTAATGCCATTTTGTTCCTTTTAACATGAGCTTTGATTTTGTCTGAATATCCTCTTCAGGCCATCAGGAAGACAACAGTTCACTCCCGTAGGAAAATACAAGGCAGATGGAATCCTAGAAACTGTAAGGCTCTGTGTAACTCACAGTAATATTCTCTGTACATCCTTTTTCTAGCTTTTCTTATTTTAGTACAGTGAATCTGATTTCCACTGCTCTCTTAGTGTTTTAAAATCTTTTATGTCAAATTAGTCAGTTGTGATCCAAAACCCAATAAGAAATAACAAAATCCTGTAGTCTGGCTCTGAGTTGTCCCAGTGTCTCTGGGTAATTGGCCTTTCTGAAGTCCTTTTTGTTCTATCTACCTTTCAAGCTTATAAATGGTTCCTACTTTTTTACTGGTATGCAGTAAAAGTGAACATGGATCCTTTCAAGTTGACCAGCATGGCCACAAGCATCAAAAGGCAGTATTGCCTTCTTGTCTTACACAGAATTCTTTGCCTTTTTTTTTTTTTTTCCTCCAGAAGCTCCAAATGGCAAAATACTTTCCACTTATGTGTTTATTTCCATCTGAAGTTCTCAAATGGCTTTGCAATGCCATAAGCCAGGCTTTAGTGGTTTAAGGAAATACTACTGGCCTCTTAAATGGAGAAATGGGTGTATCAAGAACTTTTCAGAATCAGACAGTTTTGGAACAACTGGAAATGAAAACCTGTAGAAATAGGGTGAATTCAGCAGAAAACCTTCGCTAAAATGTGCTCTTCCAAGAGATAAGATAGGTTATTTAATTAATATGCTAACATAATTCCCAGATGCTGGCTATTTCAGAGTGTAACTAACACCATTAAGCTCCCTCTAAGTACTGCTCATCAAAGGTCATGTGGAGATAACCACAGTGAAAATGTGATGGAAAGGAATATAATCCGGACTGCTTGATCTTCCCTCATGTGGTGTCCACAAGACCATCACTTCTGTCAAAATATGAAGAGGGAAAAATAGTCAAAGAACGTTGAAGTAAGGGCCTGGGTCTGTGAACTCTCCTGAACTTCATGTTAAATGGGAGTATTCATGGGAGCGTTCTCTAGGGATGATAAGAAGTGCTCTGATCCATGCCTGCTATAGATGATTCACCACATACATACAAACTCCTGAGCTGTTTGCCCCTTCTATGTCTTCTAAAGCTGCACTATTCCTACGTTTGTCCTAAGAATTGTTTTTTATTACATAAACAATGCTTAAAATTGAATCAAATTGTCTGTTCAACGAACTTTAAACTAACAAGAAGTAGGTAGATTCCATTACATTTTGTTAGTTCAAATCTTTCCAGACAGATGTAAAGTTTTGTTTACTTCAGCTTTCAGGTTATAAAAGTGAGTTCTTACTGTTTCAGTTACTTTTTTTTTCTTCTTACATTTCTTCCTAGCTAATGCTACACAGTGCCACCAGGTATGAAGATCTGATTGTATTTCTTCAGCAGAATATTCACCAGGTACTGTGTATAGAGAAGACACTAAACTCGTTATAGTTCAGCTGCCAGATTTTCTGTGGTTATCAGTTTCATACGATGCCTTCTGAACATTGTTTCAGACACTGTGTGGACACGTCTTGCATTTTAACAAACAGAGCAACAAATTCAGTTCTAGCACAAACGAGAACAATTCTTTCTGCTTTCAGTTCAATTTGCATTTATTTAGGATTGGGCAAAAAATGTACACAACAAACGTAATAAAAACAATCCTTTTTTTTTCAGTTTGAAATTGGTCCCTGTGGGTGCATCCTTCTGACTGTGTCTGTCATCTTATCAAGATCTATCAATCTGTGAGTGCCTTTGTATCCCCGTTTCATAAATGCAAACCAAACACACTGTGCAAAGTGTGGAAACAGCCATGATGTGCTTAACTCTCTGGCCTTTTTGATTTATCGTGATGTTTACTCTGGCAAATATAGGGAAGCTATGCAGATTTACTCATCTAATCTTGATGCTTTTTTTGTTGTATAAAGACACACACACACATATATATACACAAAATGCTTTTAAAGTGGCAGCGATCCACCATATCTAATATAGTTGATATAATTGAATATAATATATCTAATAATATCTCCATCTGAACATTAGGCATGAGGTCTAAGTTGGTTGCCTGTGGTTCCTGTCTTGACAGTTGAAAGCAAGACTCCTTTTGAGGTTTATTTATTTCACATACTTTAGGTATCCGTCTTAGGTAGGGATGAATAATTTACTTGTGATGCCCCAATCTCTCTGTCAATGACAATGATAAAGAAAGGCTAGTATAAAATTGATTAGGCAGATAGTTTTTACATGTTTATAAGTAAGGTATGACAAATCTGGTCTCAGTTGATTGGTGCAATGAATATTCTGAACTGTAGCTAAGGGATAGTCATTATAGTCTCTCTTAAAAGGTCATTGAGGCTTGCCCAAGCACAGCTGGAGTTAACTGTGCTTTTCTACAGATTAAATGTATTTATGTGGCACTGTGAATATCAGAGTGGGTCAGAATAGAAAAGCTTTCTTCATTTTGTCAAATTCCCATTTTGTAAAAATCTCCTAGAGTTGTCTGCAAGTGAAAAGAACTCTTCCCTGACAATTTGCAATAGAATTGACATAAAGAGAGCAGCTGCACTTGAAAGCAACACAGGTTTGATTTATGTAAGCTTTTATTTCTTACATCTCTGCATTGTCTTGAAAATAAATAGCAGCTTAGTCCAAATTTGATATGCATTCAGTTGCTCACCCACTGAGAGTCCTACAAGCATTTACAGATTGTTTTTTGGTTGTGTTGTCATTTCTTCCTTTCCTTTGCTTACAATAACACTCCAGGCCATTGGCTTGACTCCGCTTTTGCACTCTAACACAAATGAGGTGATAATTTTATAGGCTATGTCATTTATTCTCATTTTTCTAAGATAATTACAGCAGAGAGGTCCAGATTAATAAAGGTATTTGAGCAAGCAACAGTATATTTAGTATTTGGTAGGATCACCAGCGCAGCAATGTTCCTATTGCTATTGATTGCATTGCTTTACTTGCTATAAAATGGTAAACATTCTTTAATAATATAAGCAAGGAGCTTATTTTTCCCATCACTTCTCAGTTCTTAGCAGATGGATTATGACATGGCCAATCAATCATCGCTGGTTGCATTTGGAGGAGCTAAGTGTCTAAATTGAATGTGAAAATTCCTTATGGTGTTTATTTGCATTTTTAGGTATCTAAATATTTTTACAGTTCTGGTCCACAATGTCAGAATTGTTTATAAAATGTAGCTCTATTTTGAGGAAGATTCATGGCTTTCTCATAGAACGTAATTTTAAAGTATTGTTATTCTTCTAGCTTGGTACTGTGTAACACATTGCATTGGTGCCTATCTTTTGTTTATAAGAAACAGGAATTTTTCTCTGTCGCTAGATACAGTGGAATGTGTTTTCAGACCTTTGCATAAATGTTTTTGGAAGTTCACACACAATTTCGTTTACATAATTTTCCGTAATACATTTGGATGACTATGTCATAGTACTTCTCTTAGGATATTAAAAATATCAAAACAAATAACTCACTGCTCATATCATCAAGAAATATGTACCATTTAGTGAGTGTTACAGGCACTGTAAGTAATTATTTACATAACTGGCATAGTTGTGGAGGAATAGTTGAAGACAAGTAAGAGTTATTTCAGGTAATGGAATTTTCATCCAGTCATAGAGCTTTGTCCCAGGTTTTTAACAGAAAATCAGTGTTTTTTTGTTTTGTTTATTTGAAATGAAAACACCATGGAAGTTTCAATTTCCCTGTTTTTTGTGTGAGTATTCTATTAAAAAAGATAGACAGATTATTTAATTTTAGTTGAGAAGTTGACGTATTTTAGTTTCTCAAATCAGGTTGAAATTATTCTGTTTGGGTCAGTTCTTCACCACGTGCCCCAATGCTGACTCTCTGGGGTCCCTTGGTAAATATATTTATAATTAATTGACATTTCTTGTTGGCACATTGAAGACTGAAAATCCAAAAATTTGGGTCATGGAAATTCTTAACCTTCAGGGTTTTTTTAAAAAAAACCACTACGTTTCTTCCCACACCAAAAATAACTTTCAGTACTGGGAGATGAGGAGGCCAAAATATGAAGATGTTCAAATAAATGTAGACAAATAATGGGAAAGTACCTGTAAACCCTGTGGTCTAGATGTAATCTCCATGTGCTCCATTTGTGTGTTCTGCTACTGCTCCTGCTGGCTGGATGTTGGGATAGGCTGACTTTTGTTCTGGCTCCGTAATGTTTACATTGTTACTGGTTTTTCTTGTAAAAGGAAATTCCAGATTTCAGCTAGGTCTATCGAGCGGTTGTTTTAAATCACTGCCAATCGAAGTATTTTTATTTAAAGGGAACGTATGCCAGGAAATGCAGGGCTTTGCGCTGCTTTGTAGATTTTGGTAATGAGTTTATCATACTCCACGCACTAATGATCATCACTGGTAGAACTGATAACAAATGGCCAAAGAGGAGAGAGAATTCCTGAGGAAGTTGCTGAGAACGTGTTGTTGTTTCTGGTACAGGAAGGAATGCTAGTCACTAACAATTGTAAACTTTTTTTTTTCCCTTTACAACCAGTGATAAATTAAAAAATAGTGGGCGTATTGTACTAGCTCAGGGGAGTAATCTTCCTGCATGTGCAACGTGTATTAGAATCTTCGTGTTGTTAAGAGCTACAAGATGTTTTCCATGTACCTGGGGGAGACTGAGTTTAAAGGTGGGGTTCAAGCCCCCATATGGGCCTCACCATTGCATCTGAGAATGGCACATTGCAGGTAGGAAAGTTACAAATACTCAGGAATGGTTTACACTGACCCAGTAATGGCAGCTTAAGTAAACCTCACAGTCTTGCTGAAGTTACAACATGTATGGGAACTCCATCACCAGGTTGCTCTAAAAGGTGCTGACTCGTCACCTCTAACGCTGCCACCTTCCTCACTGTGCTTACTCCTGCAAACCCGTTCCTATGGTGGGATGTGGCAGATTCTGATCCACTCATTGAAATGTCTTTAAATGTCAGCTTTTTACCAACCAGTCACACTGTCTGTTTTCATTCCCATATTTTTCTTGGTCTGTGCAATAACTTTATTGCGTAAAACCATAATTCCTAGAACTTATAGCAAAGAACATATTGAATAAGAAAATTCCTTAGGTCAAATTCATTTGTGGAAAAACGGTGTATTGCTGTTTTCAAGCTCCCTGGAGAAAATAAATAGAGCCTCATCTGAAACACAGACTCATTGTATTACAAATTTGCTGACCAAGAGAATCAAAACACCAGTGTTTAGAATCTCTTTTTGTCATCTTAGGGATATTTTATCTCTTACTGATACCAGACCATAAACGTAATTCTGCAGTCAGCATTGGTCATTTGGATATCTTTTCAATTTTTTCTGTGAAGTGTTTGTGTGAGAATAAAGAAAACAATGGCTTTATCTGTGGGGGGAAAAAAAGGAGAGTGATTTTGCAGGTCAGGAGGAGGCTGTGTACTTCATTAAGGTTGGCCGCTTACAAACCTAGGAAAATACGTGTCAACACCTTTTTCTTTACTGTGATCCTACAACTCTAATAACTATCTTTCTGTAGTCTACACTGCTCCAGAAATATGTACGGCTCTATTTTAAAATCATTTGTGCTGTTTCCATATCTGAGTTGGGAGTATTGGTTTTTGGTTCTTTTTTTTTTTTTGCTTTCCCAAAAGTCAATGCCTTTTTTATTAAATGGAATAAATCAGATTTTGATTACTTATCAGTCTAGGACTTCTCACACTGGAAAAGTCTGCCCTTAGTTAATAGTAATTTATCTCATTCTCTGAAATCTTCTATCATCATTTAGCAAATGTGACTTAAAACTGTTGTTCTGTGCACTTATTCTTCCTTCCTGGAGTACCATTTTACTGAACTAGGGATGTTAAATTTCCTTTGTCTTTCATTTTTAAGCGCTGTGCAGATGCTGGACAAACTATGCATTGTTATCACTATTATGCCCTGTACTATACGGAAACATATTTATTTGTCAACTTGGTTGTTCTTCTGTAATTATTTGTCTGGTTGCAAGCCATATTCCAACAATCTTCCAGCTTTTGTCCATTGGCAAACTACTTTTATCAATTTTTAAAAAAGTATAACAGTTCTATCTTTACTTATCTCCATAGGACAGCATTTCACTGTGAGACATACCGTTATATATGTACATTATATATTTATAGTACAGCAACATCTATAAGCTGTAATAACGATCAGAAGCTCTTCTTGCCAAAGAGTCAGAAAGAGTAAAGCCACATCCAGAGTCACCTCAGCGTGCCACCTACTATTGCCCAGTAGCTCTGACCATGTGTGCACTAACTTAGAGGGCAAACAGATGGGCTCATCCAGGGCAGGAGAAAGTTATCTCAGATTTGCTGCAGGGCAAAACACATGTATATGTGCAATTACTAAGGGATGCATTCTAGCTGGCCTCAATATCATTTATTTGCCCATAGACACACAATTCCTGCTCTACAGAGTTTTTATAGAACAGGAGGGACATGTTGCAAATGGGAAGCAGAAGCCTGTTGGAATTGTTTTATCAAAGAGCTTCCAGATATGTATAATTTGTTTGGCATGTACTATAAGCGTGTGAACACACTGTTTTACTGTGACCAGAACGAAGTGCCACAAATCAGAGGAGAATCTGTAAATTGACTCCTGAACTTTGACATCTCTAGCCGTGATGTTGCCTGCCTTTCAGACATGTTTCGCGGGTCCATTTTCATCTGGATTATTTCATACT